TAAATATTTTTTCACTGGCTACCTCTACCTTGTGTGGCTGACCTGTAAAAGAGGGAATCCTTGCAATTAAGGTAAAATCTCTTCTAAAGACCGTTCTGATTAAAATAAATCCGCTGGAACATGATACCTTGTGAAGTCTTGTGACAATAACGTGGGTGAAGCAACGAATCTACGCGCAAGGAAAGAGTCAACTTGACGATGGCAAATTCATCATCAGATGCCGAGTAAGTAGTGATTCGTTTTTAATTTTGATATACAGTACTTGGTGAGGGTAGGATACCTTTGCATTATGGCGCAATTATCCGACGAAGTCCGGGGAATTCATCCGAGAATGGAAACCCCGCTCATTAAGCTGAAATCGATTGTATAGACACGCCACACTGTGACCCTCCCGTCTCTAAACGTTAAGAACTGCCATCATTTTATCACAGATTGCAAGAACACTTTGAATACAAGAATTGTTTTTATGATGACAAGAGCTTTGAGTGATTAAGAAACTGCCAACCAAATAATTAATTGATACTCTAAATTTAAGAGTTGAAACTACTTACATAATTTTTAAATTCGCAGTTGGAGTTGGTCGTATTGGCGATTGATGAATAATCCTCTCCGATAATCAACATAAATGTAAAAACAAAACATAAAAGTCTTCGAATCCTCGGTGTGAATATCTCACCGATATTATCGAAGATTTCGTGACGTGACTCGGTGTGTCAACGACATTTTTGACGTCCTTTATAAGTTTACACCCCCGAGAATAAATATAGATATATACACCCGTAAGGTTTTTTTTGATGAGAAAAGAAAAGGTATATATATTTATTGTAAAGTTTCAAATCGCAACGTTTTTGAAAACGGGTGTATATATATTTGCTTACAACAAAAAAATTCGCTAAGAAATATTGGTTCCTTTTTTCTTTACGAAAGCAAACACCGGTTATAAGCATGTCACGCTTCGATAGCTGCATACTTCATAGTTAGTGTTTGATCCCGTCACGCAAGTCGACCAGTGGCTGTATGTGTTCAAATGACATTTCGATTGATATGCCCACAATTCTCGTCAAAACCCTTGGGACACATACGGCATAACGGTGGAAAACATTTGAGCCAAAGGTTGCCCTTCCCCCCTACAAGTTTGCAAGTTAGTAAAGTTGTTTTTAACATTTTTCTTGGGAGGTGAAGCAATTATCTTCACAAAAGAGATGCAATAAAGGAAATGCAGAAAAAAAGCCTGAAAAAAAAAATTCAGAATCCGACCGTATTCGAGCCCATTCCAGACAGATACCAGCTGAGCTACAAAGCCACATGTTGAGAGTGAGGAAAATTTTAAAAAAAATTCTCGTCCTCATACAGTTGATTGGTCACAATTAAATGACCTACGTAATAATAGTTGACCCGAGTATGAAATACAAAGTAAAGAAAATATCCTCCCAGTTGAGTTACAGTATAATGAAAGAAATTTCAAAGAAAAAAAAATTAAAAATAAAATGAGATTCAAACCCGTGCCTCCGAGACTGCGCTGGTTGGACGCTACTTCCAACTAATCTACGAAGCACAAATGGAACTTTCACTATAGTAATGACTTATTTGATATGATTAGGATGGGCGTCTCTGAATCGGACTTCAAGCGGAAAAGACGTTGGGCAATTGGTTTAGTAATCATCTATGTCACGGTTGCGGTGGGAACGGGAATCTTCCTTGCTTACTGGTTTACAAGATATCGATCATGGGAAGACAACTACCCACCCGGATATCCCGACACCCTTGGCGGACCGTACAAGCAAGCAAGCGTGGCATCAGACGCCGGCCCGTGCTCGCACATCGGGAAGAACATTCTTCAGCAAAACGGTTCGGCCGTGGACTCCGCAATCGCCACGATGCTATGTGTCGGAGTAATCAATTTACATTCGACAGGGATCGGAGGTGGTGGATTTATGCTCGTATACAATCGGAGTGGTCAAGTCGCTGAGGTGTTTGACTTCAGAGAAACTGCTCCAGCCGCTGCGACAAAGGACATGTTCAAGAATGCAAGTTACAAAGAATTGAACAGTGAGTAAATATCGCGACTTGACGCAAGCGACGTCACTATGGATTGACTTAATAAAATAGCTGTTCGAGGAAGTTCTTCCTCTCCATCGGAAAGGAAGGGCGGTCAATCTTCTCGCGACTCTGCCCCAGATTTAGGAGGCCAAATAAATTGCGTTTGTCAGAAGTGAACTCCTTACACTGCCATGAATTTTGAAATTTAGTCATTAATTCTTTGTCAACAACATGTAAAGGTTCTCCTACATGGCTCTTGCGTTTAGAGCCCCTCTAAACAAGGTTATAGCTCAGTTAAAAAGATAAATATTGGCTTCTTTTGATTTGAAGTAATTCAAATCAGATTCAAGTCTCGGGCTGATCAAATTTCAGTCTACAGAAGAAGTATAAGCTTAGCTGAGACAAAAAAGGTGCAGTTTTTTCAAGAATTGACGTTCAATTTTATCACAGCTGGTCTCCAAGATCTCGGCGCAGGTACCGAAACAGCTAGGTTAACACGCTCTCTTACAAACACTCTCCCTAAATTGCGTTCCCTTCAATTTGTAGAATCCTCTTCTGAGCGCCTCACCAAAATAAAAGTTATAAAAAAAAACCGCGACCTACGAATGTTTATCTTCACTTTATCTATTCTATGCATTTGTTTTTCAAGGTACGCTAGCCACAGGTGTCCCAGGTGAAGTGCGCGGTTATCACGCAGCCTGGAGAGCGTATGGACGGTTGCCATGGAAACAGCTGGTGCAGCCAGCAATCGACCAAGCAAAGTATGGCTTCCTTATATATCCTTCGCTTTACTTGACGATTTTGAAAAAAGAACATGACATCAGAAAAGATCCCGGGCTGAGGTAAATAACCTTTACTATCGCCTTTCAGTAAATACTCGTGGGCTACTCAGTGGCCTACTGCTTGGTGTGTTAGGGACGGATCGAAAGATCAACATTTGAGGCCTACCTGGCTCGTAGCATTGAGTTCTTGAGCAAGATATTTCACTCTTATAGTGCCTCTCTGCAGTCAGGAGTATGGATTGATAATGACAAAATATCTGGAAAACCTGACGAAATACTAAGAGGTAACCTGCGTTAGCACACCATCAAGGGAAACTTAGTTGAAACTTTTGGTCGTGAGCACCTTTTTCCTTTTTACTTTAAAGGTACGCTTAATAGTTTTATAACACTTTTTTTTTCAGAGAACTATTCGTTGATAAGAAAGGAAACCTGAGACAATTAGGTGACAATGTCACCAACCTACAATACGCGAGATCCCTCGAGGTGATACGAGACAATCCCGAGAGCTTTTACAACGGATCTTTGGCTAACAAAATCGTCCGAGACATTAGAAAGCGAGGCGGGATCATCACTTTGCAAGACCTGAGAGAGTACAAAGTTATCAGAAGAAAGGCAATTATTAACCAGTTGAATGACATGACTTGGTATACAGCCCCCCCGCCCGCCAGCGGTCCTGTGATAACTCTCATATTGAACATTCTGAAAGGTAAGGGTTAACAGAGTCTAAATGAGGGACCATCAAAGGAGATCAGCCTTATGGGGGATCAGGTAAATTTTGTCGTCACACAACCAAAATTTTCATTACGACATTACATCTCCGTTGCTGATAACTATGCCAGATTCATCATAGTTATTGCGAGTGACTGGCTTCTAATTGTAGTCCTTTATAGTGGTCCAATCATGCGTGGAAAAATGGCGACCGTTTGAAGGGCCTATTCCAGCATATCTCAAATTTGAACAACTGTACGAACAATTTTAAACGGGGTATGCGTCCGATTGGTTACCCAATATTAAATTGGTTTTTAGACCGCTTCTTGGAGTTGAAAAACAGGGCGGCAGGGTGGGGTCTCTGAACAATGGCTTGCTAACACTGACAATGACTTGCAGAAAAAATTATTTTTCGAAGTTCCTTTCGTACATTTCTAAGAGAAGCTTCACGAAACAAAATTCTAATATCGGTGACTGTCTATTGATCTTTTTTAAAGAGGGATTGAAAAGAGTATTACTAGTGTTTGTGATATGACACTATGTGTAAGAAGTAACATTTGAGAATGACGCTTTTTTTCAGGTTATAACATGACTTCACAATCGCGTAATTCTTTGACGTTTCATCGTATTATTGAGG